GACGACGGCGACGACGGCGACGACGACGACGACGACGACGACGACGACGGCGACGACGGCGACGACGGCGACGGCGACGGCGACGACCAAAGAGAGCCCCGAGCACACGGGGGACGACGAAATTTTTCTCTCTCTCCTCCTCTTCTTTGTCTTTCTCTCTCTTTCAACCTCTTGCTCACCCTCCCCCTCTCCCGCGGCCGGTCTACCCTTCAAGGCGCACCCTCGAACGTCGCACAGTCGGGGATACGATCCTCAGCACGGAGGCATATCGTAGCACGTCAGTCTTTCTCTCTCCCATACACACGCACTCTCTCTGTCTTTCTTCTCTTCACCCCTCGTTCCCTTTAATCCGTAACCCCTTCTCTCTTCCTCTCACACTCGCTCTCTATCTGTCTCACTCCGCTGTGCAGTTCCCCCTCGTACTCTCGAGTCTCCCGCCGGTGTCTCACCCTCCACAGCGCGTATGTATTTTCACGAGTCGACGTAAGCGCGAGGCTGGCGGCGCGTATAACGCGTGTACGCGGGTGCGTGCTTTCGTTACGTGCGAGTCGCGTTGCACGCTCTCGCGAAACACACGCACTTTCTCTCTCTCTCTGACCTTTTCTGCCTGTCCCGACGTGTGGTCTCTCTGCCGAGCAACTCTCTCACCGCGAGCAGGATCGCGAGGACGTACGCGCGCCGCTACCACCGGGACGATTCCGCGCGCGACGGCGAGCGCGTGTATTCGCGCGCGACGTAAAAACGCGGAGGAAGTGACAGCTGCCTCCGCCGTGCCGCCGGCACGGGTCGCCCATGCTAGCCGCTCACTCTTATTGATCAATAATATACGCCGCCGCCGCCTGCCTGCCTTCCTGCCTGCTTGCCTGCCTGCTTGCCTGCCTGCTTGCCTGCCTGCCTGCTTGCCTGCTTGCCTGCCTGCCTGCCTGCGTACCTGCCTAGTACTCGACGTCGTCGCTCCAGGGCTCCCGCCCGCTTTCCCGCGTATATTCCCGCTTTCGCGTGAACGTCACTTCGCGTTTTCCGAACGAACGTCTACGACGTGCACGACGACGCCGCCTCCGTCTCAAACGGAACCTTCGATACGCGTTTTAGCGCTAAACTCACGCACTCCCTCGCTTTTTGCGGATGTTAGGTTTCTCGAATTAAGTTTCAGGTCGCTCGGGTTTCCTTCACCCTTCAGTAACGTAGCTGTAGGAAAAGAAAAAAATAAAGCAAGAAGAGAGGAAACTGCTACACTGTTCTAATCTCGATCACACTCGAAATATTGAATCGCTTATCGCGTTTCTTGTATTTCAATTTCTTCTTGGTTTCTTTTCTTACTCCTTTCCTTACTCAGAGTACTGTGTGGTTACTCTTAGCTACAAATTCACGAGAGATGGAGGATTGAAAGTGCGAGCGTCACACCCGGGCAACGTAGACTCATTGTACGTCACTGTCACGGGAGTGTAAAATTTCGTTGGCTCGAGCCAGCTAGATGTCCCAAGACATCACTGATTTTCCGATCGCGCTCGCGCTCTCCGCTAACCTTCTAGGTTATCTCGTTTAATCATCTTCGCACTTTGTGCGAAATTGTTCCGATGTATATTTACCATTTACCAGTCGCATTACGCGTATATCTGAGTAAGATCGTCTCCTGAACCAGTCGATTTTCTCGCCGGCTTTCGTCTCGTCGACTTTCCCTCATTTAACACACCATTTCCACGCGTGGGCGAGATCAAGCTCGATATTTTAAACTATGATTCACTCAGTTCTGTTTTCATAATTGCATTACTCGCGCGGCAAGTAAACTTCTTTTTTGCATGCACAACTTTCTCGAGTATAAAGCCGACGCATTTCATGATAAAAAGTAAGACTTAAACACGCTTCGACATGCAATTCTAAATCCAAGTGTCGATTCGCTTAACGAACTTACAACATTATATTAATTTCGGAGTTATAAAAAGCATATCGAGATTCTAAAATGATTTTCGTCCGACAAATTGAAGAATCGCGAAATCCCAATTCCTCTCGAATTTCTTCAAACCTTGACACAATTTTTACGCTTGTAGATCTTTTTTTTTATAAATATTCAATCGATGAAACGTAACGACTTGTAACGTGTCACTTATCGCAGATTGGCGCGGAATGTTAACCATGCGTCGATAGTGCAGTGTGCTCTAATAAAGATACGAAGGGCATGCGTTTATCAGCGGTGGATTTCGCCAATGCATTTCATAATAGCTTGCAGTGGGCAATTTCAACTTCCCGGTGGTAACTAGCAGTTAAGAACTGTCGTGGAAAATAACTGAGTATAATTTTCGATTTTCACGACATCACAAATGCAATGCGGAAGAGAAGCGATTGTGGAACGTTAATTTTGAGCAATTAGAGTCTTGAATTGCAGATTTTTATAACGCAAAGTAGTCTTTCATTGCTCGACATCATTGCAATTTCTATCATTCGCATAATTTTCAATTTCAATTTGCTCTCTCTCTCTTCCTCTCTCTCTCTCTCTCTCTCTCTCTCTCTCTCTCTCTCTCTCTCTCTCTCTCTCTCTCTATCTATCTATCTATCTATCTTTCTATCTATCTATCTTTCTTTCTTTCTTTCTTTCCACTCTTCTCTCTTCTCCTTTCCACGAATTCCTCGACTGAATTATTTACGCCGCGTAAGAGATTTTTCGCGCTAAATAAAATCGACTAAATAAGAAAACAGTTTTCTTATCTTCGATTTTTGCACGATTGCGAGTACTTCCTTTCGTCTCCTCGACAGTACGTGTCGGTCAGTCGAAAGACACGAACACGCAGAACACGCCGACTCGATCGTGTAATTCACAATAAAGCTCATACACGCGCATTACGCTCTTGAATAATAGGAAGGGCCGAGAAGTGAGGACGACTCGAGACGTTTAAATGGACGAGCGAAGAAGAAAATTGGCGCGTGTCGGCCACGAGCCGCGAGCGAGGGCACGCGATTCTACATCACCCACGCATTGGCGTAGCCGATCGATCGCGCGTAACAATTTCGAGACGATTCTCCAAATCTGCTGACGCATGAAATGTCTGAAAGCAGAGACAGGCTCGCTGATAAAACTCAAGGTAGCATAGGCTGTAAGTAACGTCTGCTGCTAGTGTTACTTCGCGCAAATCACACGCTGAGAACACACGTCCTCGCAAATTCGTCTATTCACGTCACCATATGCTTGTCTATCTGGAAATCTACAAAGCATATTATTTCGTAGAAAAACAAGATAAGCACCTCTCTGCATTAAGATTAACCCATTGTATACGGACAACGATAGATTGCAACAGCGTTAATGCGCGTGTAAAGTGGCCGCAGGATACATTTAATTGAGTTGAATAAATTGGAGGCTCGGTAGCAATTAGCGATTAAAGCGCGTGACCTTACGATCCGTCGCGAACAATTCGTCCGATTCAGAGCGCGGCGCAGCCAAATAAACGTGAGATTACAGCTCGCGCTCTCCTACTCGCTCGCGTGTATAATCCAGACTGACACGAAAGTGAGTGGGTCGAGAAGAGAAACAGAAAAAGAAATTGCTACTAGAAAATATAAAACTTCACTTCAATCGCGCGACACTAAACCAAACCGTATTCAAATAAGCGTAATATAATTGCGAGGGATACTTTGTGGAACTCAAAGCGGGACATTATTTTTCAGTAGCCAGAAATAGAAACGGCATCGCGGTGCGAGGTCCGAAATGATAGATTCAGCGTTTGCTGTCGGCCAAGCGCGAAATCAAATGTCGCCCACCGACGCCTACGCCACTGAGGCGCCACCGTCACCGCACGTCGTGAAGCGCGGCGCGCGCGCGACTTCAGTTCGCGCACGGTCGCCGCGGCGCGAGGACGTGTTGAGTCTTAGTCGTGTCCGGTCTTGAAGGAGAGAGGGAGACGAAAATAGTGTTCCCGTTGTCCATCACACGGTGTCACATCGCCCGCCACCGTATCCCGTGTCTCTCCTCGACTCGTACACGTGAATGTCAGATGATCGTCAGTCATGATCTCCACTGAGACGCGACGGACACCTCTACCGAGCCTTCTGCTGCTGTGCACCCTCGTGGTCTCGACATACGCCAGGTCCTGGGGTGAGTTATTAATGAATGAACTGCCGACAGCGGCGACAGAGATCGAACTCGCGATCATTTTTTGTGACACGTCGCGCCGGCCCAGCGGCCGATTATATCAAGATTCGCGCTGGTTACGCGGAGTCGAATGTCGGCACGCACACCAGCGCGCCGCGCCATACCGCGCCGTGTCTGTGCGCGTGGTTACGCGCGTGTTGGTGCGCCACCGCCGACTCCATTCACCCGCGGCCGCTCGTCACGTACGCCACTTTTCGCACACTGCTTTTTCGCGCGCCGCTCCGAAACGGCCAAAAGCTGAATGAAACATCGCGACGATCGGCCTCCAGCCGCGCCGATTAACATCACCGATCGTGTCCCATCGGCGTGAACTGTCGTTGCACGTCCTTTTACACCTGTTTACGTAACAAATGTCAAGCGGCCCTAGAGTGATGACCGGCCGCTCTCGTGTGCGTGTGTGTACATACATAGACGTGGCTGGCGCGCACACACAAACTTCAATGGGGAACGAGAGCGGGCGGATCGCGGTGCTCGCGAAATCGACGGATGAGACGGGCCCGTTTCCGCATTGACGTCGGAGGCCGCCGAAATCCGCGTCCAGAAGTGGCTTTTGGCGGTCACGTTTAAGGTCGTGCGAAGTCGCGCGCTTTTTCGCGTTGACGTTGTCGCCGAGCGCGCGTGACCTTATATCTTAGCAGCGGGTCCTGCACCTGGCGATAGATACAGCAGAAAGTCACGAAGCCATACCTTGAGCCGCTTCGGATCTGTCCGATTTATTTCCGGCACGAGCGAACGCGCACAGGACGGACATGACGCGGCATAGAGGAGATCGATCAAGGAGAACGCCGAAGAAAATTCGCGCCCCGACGATTTCGCCTCGTTATGCGTTATTAACGCGCGGCCGAATAACGGGAGCACAATCGATGCGTAGATAGACGGCCCGAATGTTGTCGTCGCCTTCTCCGGGAAAGCCAAGTAGTCAAAGATCAAAACAACGTCAGATCGTATGGAAAGAGCTCGTGTATGCATGATAGTATAAATAATAATATTATATAATCAGGGGAAAGAACTGCATTAGAGAGATGCACGCGCGTGCGATTTCTTATGTAATCTTGGAATTCTCATCGTAGATCGTTATACGATATTTCATATCACCGAGAGCAGAAAGAATTACAAGCAGAAAAACGATATATACGGTCTCATGAATTTCAACTTGATGAATGCGTTAGTATTACGGAAAGGCTGATACGCGCAGCTATTTTTGTCGTTATGCACATTTTCAAATCTCTCGTAGGAGTACGAAAAGGGCAGGAGGAGGAGGGGAGTATTGAAAAATTTCACATAATTGTGATACTCCGTTCGTTTGCTCAAACGTCATGTAAGAGAAGATAATTTGAGTTAGATAATTATAAATACCGTGTCGACAGGAGCGGAAACGGAATTTCGTGAGTCACAGAAATTGGAAATTAATGCGCTCGAATAACCAGGAGCGACGATGATAATCATACGCGACGACGTCAGGTAGAAAGGTCGGCGTGTGTATGAATAAGGAGTCGGCAGTGTCGTGCAAATTGCAAGAATACAAGCTTAGTTTCCATAAATTTATACCGGCGCTGCCGATTCGCCCGGAAGCGTCCACGTGTATCCGCGATTATACTCGTGAATTGCATGAAAAAAAAACTGCCAACACTTTTCCGGCCAACCGGGAAACGCATAGTCGCGCAAATATGAATCACGTTGTCGATCACTGCGTGACAGCTTCCGAAAAGAAAAAACCGAGGCGACACTTTCCCGACGACGAGACCTCGCCCCCATCGGTCTCCTCGTCCCACCAACTCGTTTCTGAAACGCGAACTTTGCTAATAATATTTGCACCGAGCAGATAATCTCCGCGGGGTCTCTGACGATACACGGAGAAAAATATCATTCTGCTGTTAAGAAAATCGATTATTCGGTGTATTCTCCTTCTTTTAAGTAATGATTCGCTGCTGCAAGGAATATTTTCTTTACTCTAATTTTAAAGTCTTAAAACGTGCACATCACAAATACGACAAAAGCTTATTGTCATACACTTAAAAGAGCAATGTACTCTTTTCACGAGAATATTATAAGAATATTATCGAAGAAAGAGTTTGTTTGATTGTATGCAAGTAAGCTGAATTTTTGTTTTAACTTGATATCCTTGATTGAAATGCTAAGCTTACTAAGGATTCAGAATGAATAAATTCTGATGAATGTATTCTGAATAAATTCAGTACTTATGACAAGTTCGTGATAGTTTTGCGGATATATAAACTTATGAAATACTTGAGTCACAAGCAACATTTACTTGAGTGCAGTATGCATTTTTTCATATGTAATATCTCGCGTTCCGTTCCGTCCAATGATTAATGATATGAATATTCGCGAAGGAAGCTGCGCGCTAGTCATAAGAATCGATCGATGTTTACAATGTTCCTTGATGCATAATGCGTAATAAACCGTCTACCGACGACAGAAAAAAATGGATTTAACTATGGATAGTTCAATAACAATCAAAAATATTGTTTTGTATTTATTATTATATATTTATTAGTGTCTTAGTGTGATGTAGAAATCGACCATTCTTTTCTGGTTTTTCCCCTGTCGTAAATAGTTACTGTTCTTTGTTTTTTTTTTTTGCACGATACGTACGCGCGTTCTCTTATTTCAAACAGTTATCTTCAACTTTATCTGAAATGTAAATTGCGTGCATGCTGAGAGCGAACGGATAAGTGGGACATAATATTAAGAATTAATATTTATTTGTAAATTTGTTTTTATTTCTTTCTTATATTTGTAGTCCTTTTATGTATATATTTTTTTTATTTTCTCTCTTATATGTTTTGCTTATGCACAGAAAAAAAAGAATATTTCTGCTTCAAAGATTTTTATTTCGACATGCAAGTCTCAGCATAAGGTTATATAATGTTAAAAAAAGATAAGTTGTTTGCATAAATATATTTTTTATGATTCAATAAAGAGAAATAAATTTTTATTATTCAAAAGTAATTTTCAAGCACAAAATATTAGATTGAGAATATAATATTTTCAAATGTCGGAGAGAGATCTTTATCTCTCGTCGAAATAATTATATTGTACTTCTTATGAGACCCTGTAATATTCAAGTAAAATTATAACATTGTTAAAATTCAAGATTTTAAAAAAACAAAAATCTCTCTAACAAAAACTCAATTTCTCTAACAAAATTATATATCGCTGCTTATACACGAAACAATAATTGTTAATATGAATATATTAGTTTTACTAATTTTTTTCTGTGCGTGTAGTTGCTACATATCTACTTTACATTTCGTTATCTTCTTCGTTCAATTTGAATTATTATCTTGCTAATCGACGAACCGATCTTATTTGAACTCTGTACCGAGAAGAGATAACTCTCTCGTGTAAGTAAAAATAAATATATAAATATTAATGACTTGTGTCGCAGAATTCTGTGTACATGCGTGTATCCAAATGATTTCGATTGTCGCGACTCAATAAACAAATTATTCAAACTATTTCGTCAGCCGCGAAAGACAAGAGAGAGGGAGAGAAGTCGCTCGGAAGATCGTTAGAATGTTCGATCCGCGATAACCAATCGCGCAACACGAGCTACGAACTTTCCCGCGTCTCCAGCTAGGTCAGTCCGTTTCGGGGACGAAAAAAAAGAGAGAGAGAGAGAAGAGGAAAGAGAGCGAATTAACAGATAATACGAAGGCTAGTTTTATTATGCGCGCCAATTTATTAGGCCGCGTGATAATTCTTATGTAAGTATCCTCAAGAAATTTCCGCGACGCTCACGCGTGCGTCAAACTGTCGCGATTGTATGCTCCGCCGTTTGTAACCTCACTTGCAGGTCGACAAGTTGCAAATGTGGCTCGCAACACAGCAAGGTTGCGCTCCGTTTTGAAGAGAAACGCGATAGCCACGCGGAATATCTCGAGCGAACACAAGACGAACGCAGCGGGAAGGCTTGGGAGATACTTGGTCCAATTATCGCGCCTTCGTTTCTTGTCATTAACCTTAATCGCGCCTGAAAATCACAAATAGTTTATCATCTTCCGCATACTTTCCACCTTGCTTCTCTATATCTTTTCTATCCCTTATTATCTTTTCACTCTTCACGCTTACGAACGTTGCTTGAATTTCGTGAATTTTCCGAATGCCAGACTGTAAAATAAATAAAATAGACCTGACCCTTAGCCTCCCCTCTAATCTCGCACATCTTACAAGAGTTTTACGAAACTATTTCAATTGAGACTCCGTGATCCTTTGAATCTTCGATTCGAAATCGATTAAGCGAATGAAACTCAAAATGTGTCCTTTATCTGCAAATTGTCGCTTCGTAAAGCATAAAGGTTCTCTTGTGAAAATTCAATCGATTCTGCCAACGATTCGTCGACGCCTGAACGTCGCAGGAAGTGCGACGGACTCTCAAGTGTCGCGCCGCGCGACCGTAGTCTCTCCGACGCCGGCGGCGCGCGGATCCCGTCGTCGCGATTGAAGATACTTTTTATCAATGATTATTTGATAAAATCAATGATTAATTATAATTCCGAACTAAAAATGCTTACACACGCGTGACTGTATGACATAATCGCTGGGAATTGGAAGTCACGATAAGGATAACGTTTTCCGATTAACCGGCGGATGAAAGTTCGTAAACGATGCCGTAGATTAGATTAGCGTCGGCGCTCTTTCTATGAATTTGCCGCACGGCATTTGTATTGCGGAGATAACCGCGAAACCTGAACAACCGAACTCTCATGGCTCCTTGTCCTTTGCAGACTTGGCGGTGGTCATCGGCAGCGAAATCGACTTCTTCGCGCGGAACAAAACGCTCACGGGTCAGGCCAACATCGGGGAGGCCGTCGCCCTGACCGGAGTAACGTACGACGACACCACTCGAACAATGTACTTGTCCGACACGAGGAACAACGTCTCCATATTCAGCAATGATCTCACGCAGAAGAATTTCACATCGACCCCGTTGCTCAAGAGTGAGTGTCCTGAGAACGTGTGGATTAATTCCTCGACTACGTCCAGTAGAGTCAGCATTCCACCTGTTTTCGACACTTCCGCACAGATGTTGTCGGACATCAAGACATATGGGGATTTGAAAGAAAACAAATACGTAAATGATAAATAATAATTAGTAGATCCCCGTACCTTCATACCTTGATCATACCTTGATGTTGGATGAGATTCGAGAAAGAAAATGCCGAAAGCTAGTGAGTGCCAGGCGTTTTCCTCTGTATTACGACAAATCAACGATGTCAGTCGCGCATATCTCATAAAGCATTCAAAGAAATATGTAACTTCTTTGGCAAACAGATTTAGCTTATAGATGATTATGATAGATAGATAAAAATGAAGCTTTCAGCTAGCGACCGCTTCATTTTCGACTGAACTCCTTTGTGTTTTATTTGCATATTAAAAATTCTAGATTTAACTGTTGATTAAAGATAATACCATTCTTTATTTACAGACAGTTTAGAAAAGTCAAATAAGAGGTTTGAAAAGTTAAAATAAAAATAGCAATCTTGAGTGTTCTTAATTTAAATCAGCGCTTTTCCTCGTACGCACATTATTAGCCTCGACATTTCTCATATCACGTGCAACTTCCCGCATCTGCTGAACTTCCTCATCGATTGATTCTTCTTTTGCGAAAAAGAATGTTATAATTAAGGAAGGAGGCATCCTAGATTACGTCAGGAGATCTGCGCGAACTCGGGTCTCATGAATTATGTCCGCACAAATGATTTATCGTCTTTCGTTTAATGAAACGAACTCATAAGATTCCGACATATCTGATGCGTCTGCTCAAATCCAACTAAAACCGGTTTCATTGATGAAAAGTTACTTGTAGTACGTGGAGTTGACGTTGATGGTGGACAAGGACTCACCTCTTCTCCAAAATGGGTCGACATATCCTGTTAGAATGTTATCACGTGGATATCACTTACGCATTAACGATAAATCTTTGTCATGCGTGTTTCTTCCTTAGTGAATTTCTTCTGCTCGCGCGTAAGACGAGATCGAGATAAGCGCGCGTTGCTTGAAATCTAATATATCATGAGAGATGTTTATGTATCACCGTCATTACACAACCGTTGTGACGTGTGCGCAGAAGAGAACGGGACGCACGTCATAGGGATCGTCTTCGACGCGTCGTCACGCACTTTGTTCTGGGCGGATGCCTTGAGGGAGATCATCGCAAAGATGCACGTGCCGGTGAACGGCGAACCGGGCGACCCTGTCGTTCTGCACAATCTCACTGACCGCAATCCGCGTGGCATCGCTCTCGACGTGTGTAACAGGTGTGCCATTTATGATTTCCTACTTGCTACGTCACGGGGAGAAAGAGAGTGTGTGTGTGTGTGTGTGTGTGTGAGAGAGAGAGAGAGAGAGAGAGAGAGAAAGGAGAGAAGAGGGAGTGCAACAAGGGAGAAGAGAGAGAGAGAGAGAGAGAGAGAGAGAGAGAGAGAGAGAGAGAGAGATTCCTTCTCTCATATATTCAGGTTCAAAAGAGATCAAACTGTTAATAACTGGAACATTTAATCGATGATGAAAAGATAGATACATAAGATCTGTTCTCTTTAGCTGAACTGTCTGAACTGATGTACATTGATGCGATAAGTTAGAGTGAAACAAAATATATTTGTCTCACTAATTTATTGCACCAGTTTAGACAATTCAGCTGGAAAAAAACAAGCCTATAGACAGAGATAGTTCAGAATTACAATAGAAATCGTAGAAAGATGACACGGAATTGCGGACGCAGTATCGATTTCGCTACTCAACTTATTACACTTACATTTACGTATATTTCTTTATTTCGTCTATTTGCAAAATCGCTTTAGCAGAATACAATTTTGATCGCGCCGTTACACTATAAATAAAATAGCGTAATAAAAATATAAAGATATCAGCGGTTATACGTGACATATGAAACTAACTTGGAATGTGAAAAAAATTAGACGGGAACAGATATCACGTGGATTAGCTGTCGCAGCAGTTCGCCGCTCGTCCATTTTCGTATTCTCAACGCATACTGATATTAAGAAAAGAAAGCATTAAATAAAGGTGCAGCTAAAAGGACTCCAGAAGAGATATTTCTACAGAAATATTCTTATCGTCCACTTTGCGCTTTACGAAGAAAAAACACATTTCGTATAAAAGAGAAAACTTCGAAATTTATCGCAAAAAAGAACATTCAGTCATTGAACACCGTGAAAGGAATCTTGTTTAGGAATAATTTATCTTTTTTTCAGTGGTGCACGTTATAATATTTGTATCTCTTTCTCCCTTCCTTCTTCACTTTCTTTCATAGACGTGAGAAGAAATTGTGAAAAATCTACGATAATCTTTTTTCAGCCATATTTACTGGGCGAATAGCAACACCACGAACCCCAGCATCGAGCGTTCTAATCTCGACGGGAGTAATCGAACCATTGTCATTCAGGAAAACTTGTACGAACCGTTGGCAGTGACAATTGACCACGTAGAGCAGAAGTTGTACTGGATTGACGATGGTGAAGGAATTCATTTCAAGATCGAGCGCAGCAACCTGGACGGCAGCAAACGAGAGTTATTGGTCCATAATAAGCATCAACAGCCGGTCTTCCTTGCTGTGGACAGCAACTCATTATACTGGTCCGATTGGGTACATAGTGCTATCTGGACTATGCCAAAAAACGCCAAGGAAGGCGATTACCCAATCAAGTTCAAATCTTACTTCGAGTCCAAAAGGGATGCCGATCCGGCCGGCATTGTCACGCGCGATAATGTCGGCAAAATCGACTGCCCAACGATCTTGACGACGAAACGGACAAACGTTACGAAATCTGTCCAACGACTGCCGGCCAAGACGTTCAACAATTTGACTACCAGCACGGAGGAATCGGAATTGACCACCGAGAGCTCCATATACTGCCTAAACGACGGCCATCTGCATAAAACAGACGGCACATGTCGATGCAAACCAGGGTGAGTCAGTCAAGAACCTGCTTGGGTGATATCTAGAAGTCGATAATTATGACATATCTCGTTAATATTTAATTTCGTAGGTGTTACATAATAAATACTTCGTAGCAAAATTATAGTAAAACTGGTGATATGATATTAATGTAAAACTCGTGACATAACGTAGGCGTAAAACTCTTGATGCACAATTATATAAAGTTGTGCGACTTCACGAGGGATTTAATAGCTAAGATATCGATCAGATTAGTTATATGTATTTCTGACTCATTGTTAAATTAATAAATTGCATAATATTTCCAGGTTCATCGGAACCTCTTGTGAGACCTCTCTCTGTCACAACTACTGCCTTCGTGGTGAATGCACCACAAATCATCGCGGGCTTCCCGAATGCGAGTGTCCGGATAGATATAGCGGCGCTCGATGCGAGAGGGATGTCTGCGATGGATACTGCCTCCACGATGGTGATTGTTCCGTCCAAGATGGAAACCCGTATTGTAGCTGTAAATATTCCACAGGGACCCGGTGCGAAGAGGCGGAAGATATCGCGGAGATCTGTACGATCTACTGCGCGAGCGATCGCAACGTATTGTTGAACGTCAACGTGACATCCTGCAGGTACAAGCATACGTAAACGCGCGATTCGAGCGATTTGTTATCCGCTAATTCGTATCTAAAAGTATTTAAAAAGAAGATAACAATCTTGAGTCGGGTAATTGAGAGATAACTGCCAGACAAAGTTCAAAACGTCCTTCGTCAAGCGCAAATTTCACGACGGGAAAAAAGAAAAGATTCTGCTGTGTGTTTGCACACTTCTCTCAAGTTCGATTCTAAAGCTCGAATTCTTTAGTGGATCGTTCCGATTCTGAACGAGCAGTGTAACTTTGGAGACATACTTTATATGCCATAAAATCTATGTGGATCTTAAATTGACAGGTGCACAAACGACATGCAAACAGACCGGATCGTTAAGCTCAGCGGCAGTGCGGAGTACAGCAAGCTGCTGCTGATATTCCTCGTTCTTGCTACTGTGGCACTCTTGTTTTTCGGCATTGTCACCTGCTACGCGGGCATACTGCGAAGGAAACCGCGCGTCAAGAGACGCTTCGTGGGCGTGACACCACTCACGTCCCGGCCACAGATACCGGACAATCAGTGCGAAATAACCATAGAGAATTGCTGCAATATGAATATCTGCGAAACTGTGAGTGAAATATCGCACACTAAATAACACCACACGACATTGATAGCACGTGTCATCTTGTCCTGTCGCTTGTCGTCTCCGTAAAAAGATACAGCGTCAAATCACTGAGCGACCCGTGCTTCACCCTGTACGTCTTGAAATTATAACGTTTCACTGTCTCGTTTTTCATACTTAAGTCCATTTCAGGCGATCTATATTTATGAGCAGAATATTTAAAATTACATTTGTAAAGAAAATTTGTGAGAAGAATCGCGCAAAGAATAATCCTTTTCTTATTTGTAGAATTATACATATACTTTTATAAAATATACAGAGCACATATATGTGTTTATAAAATCACATATATACATATAAATTTTTAAATCTCTCACGAGTACAAAGCGGTACACGAGAGCAAAAATAAAATCCAAGAATTATAGATCGCCTTGAACGGGTTTTATGTAATTATTTGCATAGTATTAATTAAGAGACGCTTTATTCGTTCAACTAACACTCGAGCGTTATCTCACGATACATTAATCTTAAATCGAGAAATGCAATCAATACGTTGTGTTGTTTTTTACGCACGTGAAAACATTTGTCGAGACTATGTCTCTTACTCTCTCGGGACCAAAGCTTGGGCTTTGTGTGCTTTTGAGTGCCCGCGATAAACTTGTCTCATTAGTCGGCATTTTTGCAAGACTCTTTTGCAATGAAAATTTAAGACTTTTTAAGTTACTCGCATGTATTAGCCTTGGAAAAGAGAAACTCGTTATTGACAATCTAACGATTGCGTCACCTAGCACGTTTCCAAGTGATGGCTCTTCCGCCACGGAGCAGTATTGCGCCAGTATTATATCTATTAATATTTTTTTTATTAATTATCCTTTTAACATGGATTGCGCATTATTCGCACGGTTATTCAAAACACGGTTACTTTTCATGCACGACGAATTGCGCATCTTATGATCGACACGTAGCTCACCTAATGCGCAATGTAATATTATGTTTTTGCACTGTATTTTTGCGACAATTGTTTATTAACTTGGTCGCTTTTTGTGTGTTCTTTCTGTGGCGCTTGAGAGGTCACGATTAATTGCGGGAATGCAGCCGCTGAGGGAAGGTGAAATGATCGGTATTTCGAGTTCTTTGCACGTACTTGATGATTGTGTAGAATCACTTTAACCTATCTGACGCGATCAGTTTGACGAAAATACTTTCGCCGGCCGGTGGAAAAATAAAATAAAAAAGTCGATATCAGTTCATTATCTCAGTCAATTAAAGAGGGCAAAGTTGAATCATCCTATCTTTGACTTTATGAGCGTCGTTAATGCATTCGCGGCTAGTTTTGCAGAGCAGTGCAATGTCAACGATCGAATTATGCCAAGGCTATATCCGTCTTGTCGCTAGCGCTCTCATTTAACGGTCACTGAAATTGGGGGATTTGCAATCTCTGTACGATTAATCTCGCAACAACAGCCGGCGCGACGATTTTATTTTTGCTTTCGCGCTCGAGATTCGTTCGAGACTCGAAACCGGCTTGTAATCGATCTGTCCCGCCGATTCTGCGAGATGAGAATCTGCGTGACGACGATTGCAAAAGTAGGTAACGGTACGATTTCTTTTGCAGCCGTGTTTCGAACCGAAATTATGCACCATGGTGTCGAGAAGCAATAGTTCGAAAAAAGAGGAGAAGAATTCCTTGTTGGATAACATGGAGGGGAATTCGTGCTAGCACAAGCTAATGTCTCGTCGTATGAAATGGCGAAAATTCTGCGGACTCCGCAGCACCGCCGCGAGCCACTCGCGGAAGTAGTACTTGCGGGATCCCACCTCTATACGTACTGCGGCGGATTCTATCATAGTAACTTCTCCATCGGAGTCCGAAAGTATCCGCGCGTTTACGGGATGCGCACGGCCGCCGTGTCGACGACGATTGCTTTCGCTCCGTCTTGAAAAAGCAAGCCAAAGCCTCTTTTTAGGAAATCCTGTTTCTCATTACGTCATACACGTAGGGCTGTGTTAATAGAACCAGTAATTAATTAGTAGTCATTAAACCTTTATATCGTGCGATTTTGTTGGATGCTTGTTGACTCGTTTACAGCGACGCAATACGCGAAGAAGTACTCTTGCGTTTCTCAAGAAACTGCTGGAAACGCGATTCCTTTCGCTCGCATGCCCGATACCGCATATAAAAAGGAGTAAAGTTTTTAGCTGTATTTACGAAGTACATACTTTAAGCAAATTTATGTAAGTGTGATTATACGGTCGTCAATTGACGATTTTCATGTCTTTGTTAGAAACTTCAAACGATTATATTTATTATTGTATATATATATATATATATATATATATATATATATATATATATATATATATTATAAATTATTTTATAATAATGTATAATTATTACAAATTATTTACAATTATTATTTATAACATTTGTGTGTGTGAACTTTCTTAAAATTTTCATTACACAATTACAATACAATCAAATTGGTTCTGAAAATTTTGCAGAATAGTAAATATAACAAGTTATAAAATACGTGATGGCGCAGTGTTTCAAACTTTCGATGTTGTATCGTCGTGTCAAGAAGATATATATTCTTACACCTTGAGAGAAAAAGCGCCAATATGCATTTTTTCAGTTTTAGCTTCTGAACTGTAGAAGTCTTAAAATTTTTTAACATCACAGTGTCACATTTATATTCAAAATATAAATATTTATTTATATTTTAATGATTAGAGAACGTTTCAGCTTTTTAAAAAAAATTTTGAATTCGAAAATACTTCCGAATTTGAAGACTTGATACTAACACTGTTGATCCCTCGTTACAGTCATCTTGATTGATAACGTCAAAAGCGAGAAAATATACGCTTAACATTTTTGTAAAGTATATTAAAGTAAACTTACTCGAATCATACGGTTAATTGATTTCGTGTTATTACGAGCGTGTATCTCCTAACTTTTGACATCATTAGTCAAGATGCCGCGATGAGAAAACAGGAGAACTGAAAAAAAATTGATATTTTATAAATATATAACTTCTTTTTCGATCTGATGTATTGCGGATGTAACAAGCGAAAGGGAACGTGTGTTCTTAGGAATTTTTCCATTATATAGAGGTAGCTACCGAACAACACAATTCAAACTTACTGACGTGGAAAGACTTTTCTCACGGACGCTTCCTTATATATTTATCTTGTCCCGTTCATTTCTCTTAACATAGAATCGCTATATTGGTCAAAAGGAACTCACTTGTGCCGTACTGAAGCAATTTGAAATGAGAGAGAGAAAGAGAGAAAGCAAAAAGAAAAGAGTAATGGAAAACATGTAGCGATCGCGGTTACGGGGTGCGCAAAAGTTGCCTTAAGCAGTAATTCTAATTGTTGCTCAAAGTACCGTTGAGTACATTCCTGAAGAAATTTAGATCACGACGGTGACAAATAATTTTTTTCTCATTCAACACTGTCGACTGAGTCAACCGTTAACAGACTTTACAATGCATATAGATATGGAATTATTCATTGATTTCGTTATCATAAACTACATTTGTACCATAGTCTAAAACCATTTCAGTAGCACATTGTACAAATACCGTAATCTACGGTCGCATAACCGACATGAAACTACTTTGATAATTTCCGATATTGTAACTAATAGTTTTACTGTCATATAATATGTCATATAATATAGTTATAACATAATTGCTTATGTGATAACATATAATATAGTTATAACATAATTACTTATGTACGACATGTGATATGTGTGAATAGTTACAACAGCGGAAATTGTTAAATCGGTTTTCATGCTGCTCATGCAAACGTAGACTATAGGTTTTATTAAGCTGGTTTTAGTTAAACGTAGTTATTAATCGCGTAAGTCATAAAATCTGGCTTGTAATTCTCCGATCATGACAAACTTGTCTTATTTCTCGCGCTAAGTCTCATTACCCGATGAGCGCGATTAGTTCCACTCTTAGGCCGTGCTTGTCGTCGTCACTTGGAACTTATATTGCCTGAGACAAATTTCAAGTGACAACCACAAAGCTGTAAATACAGGTCTTGATGAAATCACTTCGTATTACCGTAACCATCCTCTAATCGCTGACTTAGATCATACCGAGTACAATACACAAATGTATATATACATATATATATATATATGTGTGTGTGTACAGGATGAGGCGTTTAAAACAGACTATTTACCAATGCAACTTCCTCGTGTATGAAGATAAAGACTGTTTAGAAAAAAATTTATAATTTGAAATTCCAACAGCCTGATCTGTTTTAAATGTCTCACCTTATATACATCCTGTATATCACTCTGTATATGATTCTGTCCCTCTCGTCGTGAACACCTTACATATCTCTTGACGCTGGTTGTGACGACTTTCATGAAATTCAAGACACAGTAACATTATTTGGAAAATACCAGTGATCTCGAATCGACAGCTATCTCCTTAGATATTTTCTCATATTATCAACAACAGTAGAGATATCCATAGGTGTTTGTGATGATAAACGGGACGCCTTGTATAACATGTACATGCTATCATGAGGTGTATACTAGACAAAGTAAGAAAACATTACTGAACATTCAGAGTTACAATGTACGTGAACGATCCTCGTTGTCAAATCTGGACTATCTCGTTTATCCGAACGGCAAGTCACACTGAATTCGCGAAACCTTACGACTTACCAGTTTCCGACGTACTTAACGTGTATTATTTATATATGTCAACAATCGATGTTCATATTACTGATTCTAATTTCAAGGATCATTAGATTCGTACAGTATCCTTCGCGAAGCGGACTCGATAACGTTCCTCGCGGAGCGATACTTGAGTCGATTTTTCACGATTGTTTGACTCCGGAAACTTCTGTTCCGCGTTGATGTATGCAATGCGATGCCAATTTTTGAGTCTTATTTTTCTTATAACTTTTACTTTGTTGTAAAAACGAGATTGTCCACCAATTTTATTTGTAACAATGTCACGTTCAAATAACGACAGTCTGTGGCGCGCAAGATAGCGCGGTGCATAAAATCGATTTTGGTTCAAATTGTTCATAACACATTGACTGCTACAGGAGTGACCGGCTTTATTTTACATCGTCTTATTAATTTACGCATAAAGCGTGACTAATCGCAGCTAACGAGTTAAATATGCGGTCAATAAATATGCCGATAAGACCAGCTAATAGATATATTCATTGGAAGAAGTATGTACTTACTTCGGTCATTTGAATTTCAAGCTTTGGAACAATCCATGGAATTCAGCGTGGCAGTGAAAGCGTTGAAACGAACGATCGTAAGCTTTATTATCCTTAAAGCCCGTACTTTTGAACCAATTGTCATGCAATTAGCAGTTAATACGTATACTTCTTATATACACCAAAGTTGTTTTTAATTTTAGTGAAGAGGATATAGTACAATTGTTGGTTTGCAGGAATTGTCATGCGTTGATTCAAGACTTAATCAGGTCGCAATGTTGTTTGAAAAAAGCGCCACGGGGAATATTATTATATTATAATTATTTTATTTTAATCATGTCGCAGAAAAGCAAACTGATAATTACCATATTGTTCATTGATTATATGTTTATGAGGTTTATGTTATTCTTTATAGTACGGAAGAATGTTCCTGTCGTCGTGACAAACAAATCATTCGCAATACATGACGATACTTTTTGTTCCTGTATACGATAGATACTACTTAAATCGTCATCATTTCTTTGGTTTTTAAATCTAACGAATAATTTTATACTAAATGTTTTTGCGACATTTGCCGGGCTATATATACATATATATATATAGATAAATATATGTATGTATATATTATATATATATACGTATCAAATATTGTGTTTGGAAAATAGCCCTCTCCCACACACTCATCCCCAGAGACGGGATAGTGGATTTATGGTGAAAGGGTTATATTCCTAAAATAAAACTACGACGGTGCATAGTATGCAATAGGTCTACACATATTACATTGTAAATCGTAAATTCGAAGTTTCCCAAGGAAAATTCTTCGTTATGTATTATATTCTTGAATTTATTAGTTGATAATTTGAATTATTTAGATTTTAGCTTAACAGCATATATTCTCAATTATATCTTACGTTATATGTAATCTGTGGAAATATTAGAACACGCGTGTCAATTTTCCAGATCGATCTGTTATCCTTATAAAACAGATAACTTGTTTTTTATTTTATATTTGAGAATTGACTGTATCTTTCTTGAAGATGAAATCTTAAATCTTAGATTGTACTTAATTTACTATGAAATCATTCAAAACGTGAAAGAGGTGACTTTAGAAACATATTGCATATTTTGCATCTCCTTGCAATGGTTATAATGTGCTGGTTACTATTGTATACAGATAAAAGTGAAATAAAATGAATCATCTCTTATTCCAGTGTGTTACAATTTCATTGTTGAAGAAGGCAGTGAAAAAACTCGGAGCAGAAATACAGTATATTAAGTACTTATATATTAAATACAATTATATATTAAATATAAATATATATATCCAGGAGACAATTACAACTTGTTTTGTTTATTGAAAGAGAATATCTTAAATAAAATTGATAAGACAATAAACCTCGAAATCGCGCACAATTGTTACTTATCAAAATGTAACTGTAATTTACTGTTACTCATGTAAGTCAAAGTGTAATTCAGTACGAATCATAACGTAACATATAATTTGCTACTATTAGAACCGATAACCATTGTCAACGAGAACGAGAAGGTTATACTTATTATTCAACACTTAATTGTGTATCAGGCAAGACTACTTTCTCGCCAGGTTTGAAGGCAGGCATCCCAAGATAAGGGCAACTGGCGCATCTAAATGCATCTCCAAGGTAACACTAAAAAATTAATATAAATTAATATAATTCTGCATCTTTACGCACAAAAAAATTTCTCTATTATTACCTATACTAAGAATATTAATCGATTATTATTTTGACGATCATAAACATTTTTGTGTATTGTTATATACTAATATGTTATATAAAAAATTTTTTGAAATTTAATTTATATTTTAAATATAATTAGACAATTATAGAGCATATATGAATATTGATGAAGACAGTAGCAATAAAGTGAAACATACATTTCCACAAGAAGATTTAACAGTAGTTTTCTGTGATGCTTCAGCATTTAATTCTTCTGCAAGTCCACACGAGCAATCCTTGCATGCCTTTCGTTTGCCTGTTGTACTACATACTGTAAAACAGTAAAATTTTTATGCAACTTACATGCACAATATATATATATATATATATATATATATATATATATATATATATATATATATAATATACACACACACACACAAATATATATTTTGTGTATATATATAAAATAAATATACACAAATTCCCTTGTTTATTTGCATGCAATAAAAATTCTTAAACTCACCTCGTAACAATGACACATCTGGCCGTGCTCGATCTGCTTCATCTAAAAGTTCATCTTCATCTATCAAATCTTCATCCACAAGATTATTTAATGTCCATACAGTATTTTTTTCCTTTGTAGATAAAGTATTTCTTTTACCAAAATTTAATGTGGTGCTAGAACCCACCTAAGAAACAAGATGTCCCTTAATTATTTATTACATATATTTGATTAACTTATATAAATACACAGAAAAATTATCTTACCTGGAACGGAGGTTTGCATGCTGAAACTTTACAAACATCTTTTATATTATTGTATACTTTCTTCAAGAAATTTTTATTTTCTTTATCTGCATCTAAGCTCTCCTGTTCTGTATTTTGTATTTTAAAGCCAGATAGCTGTAATCTAGATATTCTTTCAGGATATGTAAGTATTGTATTTGTCTGTTTGGTTGTTTGTAGTGGTTCGTAAATTACAAAGGAACCATCAGCTTCCAAAATCCTTAATGCTTCCCCAAGAAATTCGTTATTTGTGCATGGTTGTTTCAAGACAACAATAACAACATTGAGAGAAGAAGCACTATAATTTTCTGAAATAATAGGACAGAATAGATAAGGAGTTATCCTAAATATATTCATAACATCCTGAGACATTCTCTAGATCTCTTAGACATATTTAGAATGATTCTAGGATATACCGTATTATTTAGAGTAAATATAATTTGTTTATAGTTTCATGTGACAACAATTGCAAGTTTTATAGCTATTACTTCATACAACTTTTGCAAATCGAACAAAGCTTACCTTTTTTCAGATTCGACAAAGTTGTGGTTAATAATTTGCCAAGATCACCGATATGTTGTCTAATAGCAGCAACAAAATCCACAATGTCATCAAGACATACTTCATCTCCTGACACCATAAGAACTTTGTCTCCCTCTTTAACAAGAGATGTCATTTTGCAATGTTTAAACAGAAAATCGCTATAAAATAGACACGTATGCGATTACAAAGTCTGATCTGCAAAGAAGGAAAAATATTCCCAATAGTTATTCCTTGAGAGGTTACTCTGATCATACACGAACGAAGTTCGTAAAATATTAATCATGTGACAAACGGGAGCGTCCCGATTGACCACGGTACGATTGGACACAACCAACCGATGAAAAGAATTATCTAGTGAATTACTAGGTCCAACCAATCATTACAATCTGTGTCCAATCGATCGTGGTCAATCGGGTCCCACCCGTGACAAACACATCAGGGGCGCGGTCCAGTAACCGCTATAATGCTGCGCAGCGTTTCTCTTTCTTGTTCTATTTCTCGAATTCGAATGAAAAAAGAGAAAGAAGTAAAAACGTTATAAAGCATTTGTAGCGCTTACTGGATCGTACTCTAGGCCTGTTCTTTGTAGCTACACGATGAACTGGTGCAATATAGGGTGTTTTCCAGCTACGTTACACTGTGTTACACAAAACCAGTTTATTGGTCATATATTATCTAAAATATCTTGTAAGATAATATGTCACCAATAAACTGGTTTTGTGTAACACAGTGTGCATAGCTGGAAAGCACCCATATTGAAGTGAGACAAATATATGTTTCCTTAAGCCCGTATCAGACTACCGATTACACAGGCCGACCCGACTGCCGACTACGACTGCCGACTCTCAATAGACCAATCACAGTGAGGCGCTGACTCGGCGCCTCACTGTGATTGGTCTATTGAGAGTCGGCAGTCGTAGTCAGCAGTCGGGTCGGCCTGTGTAGTCGGTAGTCTGATACGGGCTTTACTCTAATTTATTGCACTAGTTCAGCAATTAGCTACATAGAACAGCATTATTCTTGAAATAGTTGCGTATACGTAAGTTTTACTGTGCAGGTTTAATCATACCATAAAATAGCTGCGCAATGAAAATTACGTAAACGCAAAAATTTCACGAATAGGAGCCCTGGAACGCACGCTATCAATATATTTCTGTCTAGTTTTAAATACGAAAAGTGCGAAGAGTGCAAACAATGAATAAGCCTATTTTTGGGAAAAGAATCGAATCGATTCAGAATCGGGCATCTCTAATGGCTGTCGCAGACCAGCGCGATTTGCGACGCGACACGTGATATGCGATGCGCGATATCCAATGAACGTACAGTTTTTGCGAAATACTAGTATGCTTATTGGATATCGCTCATCGCTTATCGTGTGTCGCGTCGCGTATCGCGCTGGCTGCGAGAGCCATAACATGGATTCCAAATGCCTTATGTTCTGTCTAATGACATATATACTAGAGATGCCCGATTCTGAATCGATTCGATTCTTTCCCCAAAAATAGGCTTATTCATGTTGTTTGCACTCTTCGCACTTTTCATATTTAAAACTAGACAAAATTATATTGGAATGTTTCGAAGAAGCAAAAACGAGACAACCAACTCGATTGTTTCTTCCAAGCATCTGATTAGGCATCCATCTCTTTTTAAAAGCGAAAAGTATAAAACATGCATGCAGCACGAACAACTCTTTTTCCCTAAATTTGTTAGGGAAAGAATCGAATCGATTAAGAATCGGGCATCTCTAGTCCATGTATACTATTGCGGGATTCACATCGCGTCCGATATCCGACTACAACGTCCTATATCCAATAGGAGAACAGCTTTCTAATATAGAATTCAATTCTCCATTGGCTATTATTTTATTGGATATAGGACGTCGTACATCGGACCTTTGACTATGACTGCGTTCCGATATTCACTGCCAATACTGAAAATCTATAGTTTATGTTACGTATATTATAGAATTTCAGCACTGGCAGTAAATTTCGGAACGCAGCCTCTGTTTTGCTCTACTGAGTTCCTTCTTTTGCCTTGTTTGGTCCTGGCGGCGTTACAGATGTTGACAGACACTAATAGCGTGTTTGACTGGCTCTGGGTTAACCCACTCTGGATTATCAGCTTACGTTTATTGGTCGAACAAGTACTTATGAGCTTTATGATTGGCTAGTAAAGACTTAGAAGTCATTAATCGCTTTCGGAGCAATTAACCCAGGGCCAGTTGAACACGCTATTAGAATCGCCGCTAGCAGTGGTTATATAGTCAAAACGTCGGACATCGGACGCGGTGTGAATCCAGCATAAGTCCATGCCTTGAACAATACGGAAGCGTCCCGATTAGACACGGTACGATTGAACACAACCAACCGATGAAAAGAATTATCTAGTGAATTACTAGGTCGAACCAATCATTACAATTTATGTCCAATCGTATCGTGATCAATCGGGTCCCACTCCACAATACTAGCCTACAGGCAATAGGAATAGATATTAGCCAATAAGAACAGGAAATAGAAATAATTGACCAATCCGAATTCCTATTCCCTATTCCTATTGCCTGACATTCTGCAAGGGCCTTTATCTGGAACCAATACAGAGAGAGAGAGAGAGAGAGAGAGAGAGAGAGAGAGAGAGAGATTTGAATCTCGTTTAGTTAAGACCCAAACCTTCTTCAGCGGAGACTTGAACCTTGACACTTTACAGTTTGGATGACATCATGCTCCATGTAGTGTGTGATTGATTTGTTATTTATATTATTAGCGGAAGGGAGGACTTATGGGAGTTTCCTTCTTATAATTTGAGCTTACTTACGTCCTTTTATACATATGGTGCAGTGTTCGTAATTATTTCTTACCATCGTTAATGAATCATAGCGCGTTATCAAGGACGCCGGCAAATTGTAGGAAAGTTTGACGTAGAAATATTTTCGTGTGTGTGATTTTAATAGTGAATGACCGATTAGATCCATCAAACCGTCGCACATCATTGTTTTCGTCGTACAACAGTCCCGATAATAATGGCTACTCACGGTACGATGCGTGAAAAATAAATTTTAACTTGGTATATGTATATGACAACGATTAGGTTATGTGTCATTTAATTAATTCCTTCTGCTTTTTTTACTCTTTTTCAGAAGAGGATAGAAGCGAGTGTTCCGCCGAGATGGACGTCGATAATGAAGGAGAAGAAGCCGAGGAGCCCGACAAGATATTAATAATAGATCCTGATAGCGAAGTTTGTAGTTATTATATCATAATGATATATATTTCTTTTTTTATCAATGAGATTGTGCTGTTACACTAATGTGTTTCAGGAATTGGATTTTAATCATTCAAAACTGACAAAGTTAGAAAATCTGGAACCACTGACACAAATACGTAGATTATGCTTCACATGGAACTTGATTAAGAAGATAGAAAATCTCGATATGCTTACTACTTTGGTAGAACTAGAATTAAGGGATAATCAAATTGTGACTATAGAAAATCTGGATGCTCTTGTGAATCTAGAGTAAGCCTTTTTATCTAATTCTATAGATATTATTTGATACATATATATTTTTTTAATAGAATATTGTTTGTTTCTTAGACTCTTGGACTTGTCATTTAATCGTATTAAGAAGATAGAAGGGCTGGATAATTTATTAAATTTGCAAAAGTTATTCTTATCATCAAATAAGATTTCACATATTGAAAATATTTCACATTTGATAAATCTTACAACACTTGAATTAGGTGACAACAAAATACGTGAAATTGAAAATCTAGAAGGTCTCCAAAAACTGACCAATTTATATCTTGGTAAAAACAAAATCACTAAGATCCAAAACTTGGAGAGCTTGCAGGACCTCACATTGTTAAGTCTCCAGAGCAATCGTATTACAAAAATTGAGAATATTGAAGAATTAAGAAATTTAGATCAATTATACTTGTCGGAGAATGGTATAATGTACATAGAAGGCATAGAAAATTTTCCAGGATTAACAACTCTGGATCTAGCAAATAACAAAATAAAAAAAATTCAAAATATGGATCATTTAGAAAATCTAGAGGAGTTCTGGGTAAAGAAGATAATGTTAAATGCATGCAATTTATTACACATTGATATTACAATTTTCATTTATGTTATTTATAATTTGTGTAGATGAATAATAACGAGATCGAAGACTGGAACACATTGGAGGGTTTAACAACCAACAAAAAATTGCGGACTGTTTATCTGGAGTATAATCCTATCGCGAAAGACCCAAATTACAGGAGAAAGATTATGTTATTACTGCCGTGGCTCGAGCAGCTGGATGCGACTCTCTGTAAGAGAAAAATATGCTAACAGTGGAGAGAATAGCAGTAAGCTCAAATGTATGGCGCTTACAGAAAAATAGCGCAATTATTTATGAAGAATAAATCCATGTGTCTTCGTCCATGTGATGAACGGAGAAAGAAAACCGTATCGTTGTTATTTCCGTTTGTAGCTTCAAATATCTTTGTAGAGCTATTATAACGATACGCAGCTTAACGATTATACTTATACACCTAAGATGTAATAGATGTTAGACTGTTGTCGAACCAATGTTGGTACTCCCTTATGATGGTTCGTTTCTCCAAAACTTTATTTACTGTGAGAAAGATACTCGAGTCTTGTTTTCTCCTACGACGAGCTATGGAAGAATATAACGTTATTCCAATCCTAATATATGTATATTTCTGCTCTCCGATCTAATCACACTATTATCTATTGTATTATGCACTTCTGATAAAATTTGTTCAATCTACATATACCTATTAATAATAGTGAAAAGATTTAGATAGATATACACCTCTAAATAGTGTCTCAGTTTATCTACAAAATAATTCTTTCTGAAGTATATATTTCCTTTTGATAGTATTGTCATATTAAGGATTAATATATTGTAAAAATGATGTTCTTTTATATTTTACAGCAGCATAAGAATGCAGCTTTTTTAATTACTATTTTATTAATTTGTCTTGGTAATTATTGTTGAAATGTAATGATCATTTGAGCTTATATGAATAAACAATTATTGAATGTCTCACTTGTATATTGTTCAGATAGTTTAATACTGTAAAATGATATACATGGCGTTGCATATTAATTGATAAGCTTATTTTGAAGCATTGAATCTTAAGTGACAATGCAATATTACATTATGAAGCTTTTTATAACTTATGGAATTTCTTTTTTTACAAAATATTTTTCAAATTCTGGATTCTCAAGATTTTCAAAATAATTTATATAAATTTATTTCACAGACAGCAACTGAAATATTTATGATAAAACGATCAAAGAAAATATAATTTTTTTAGATTAAATGCAATTACAATATTTATCTAAATATATTTATTATTCAATCAAAACTATATATTTTTGGTAATTACGAAGGAAAGGGGGAACCTCACCAATTTCGGTAAAATTTGGTAGGATAATGTATTTTGACGCGTAAAAACCGAATCTAAAAGCCAAAATCGTCGCTCTACACAATAATGCGAAATATTAATCGTTAAAGTTGCACAGTATTCAGGATTAGGAAACTTGTCATATCGACGATGTACTGACATATGAGCATGCGCAGTAACATTTAGTCTGTTCTTTGTATTTGCAGAGTGTGAGCTTCTAAATAAACAATAAATATAAAAATAAGTATAGCCATGTTAACTTTAGTGTTGTGAATATGAATGCATATGTATTGTAAATAAGAAATACAATTTTAAATATATTAAGCTTTCAAAGATATTTAAAAGATATTCACTAAATTTCTCTCAAGTTTTAATTTCCAACATGCAAGAAAATACACAGAGAAAGAAAGGTATATTAAGACACAGAGAGAAAGTACACAGAAAGGGAAATTAAGTATATTAAGCTACAATCTTTCGCCTTACTAAATTAATGAGTCTAATATATACTAAAATAAAAGATTCTGAAGAGTAGCAAAGACCCCTATGCAAGGTTTGGGCTTAAATCTGCAATAAAAATGCATAGACTTTAGTGATCAATAGATGTAACATACTTTGCGTAGGGGCCTTTACTAATCTTTTCAGAATCTTTTATTTTAGTATATATTAGACTCATTACTTTAGTAAGGCGAAAGATTGTAGCTTAATATACTTAAAATTGTACATCTTTTTTACAATGCATAGGCATTCATGTACACAAAATTACAATTAATATGGCTATGCTTATTTTTTTCTTTATTGTTTATTTAGGAGCATACACTCAATATTGGACGCGAGAGAGAGTAAGAGCTAATTTAGAGAGAGGTAAGAGCTAATATTCCACGATATGGAACACATACTGTTCATTTAGTGGGATACTTAGTCGGATATCTCTTCAAACGCGTTCATAAATATGAAGATCGTATATCTGCTTCCTTTTCAGCGATTATGGAATTATATAAACCAGAATTGTCTACTGAGGAAGATGCAGAATATCATAAATTATATAAAAAATATTTATATTAATATTTTAATATTTGTTACGTTTGTATATTATTTTATATATTAAAATGCATCAATCTGAAATATACGTATATTTTATCGTATCGAGATTGATATATAAAGAAATATCAAGTTCTAACAGGTTTCCTAACTTTAAACAGTGTGCAACTTTCATCATTAATATCTTGTTACGTTGTGTAGAACGACGACAAATAGCGACATGTATAACATTCGTGGTTTCATGGGAATCCATTCATGGCAAAGCCCCCGGTCAGGGGAGGTTCGGGAGAGCTTTCAGCCCTCCCGATTTGACAAAAATAACATTTTAAATAAAAGTAAAAATGCACTCGCAAAAACAACATATGCTTAACATACCATGCGAGATGCATTTTTACTTCTCTTTAGAATGTTATTTTTGTCAAACCGGGGGGGCTTTCAACTTCCCCGAACCCCCCTTACCGGGGGCTTCGCCCCCATGTGGTCGCGGGTCTTATACATGCCGCTGTTAACGTTGGTTTGACAGTTTTCTTAACCTTAAAAGTGGATAATTATCCAGTTTAGCGACTTCACCTCCGATTTCGATGAAAGTAAGCTCAATCGACGCGTTTTTGTCAAAGAAATAACTTTTTCCTCTGACAAAATCGTCGCTCTCTATTGCGAAGCGAGAAATTATTGTTAAAGATACTAAGTATGATAGGTTAAGAAACCCGTCATTGCAACGTAAAGTCTGTTAGAGTTGCACTTACTGATTAGTGTAACACAGTGTGCAACAACTTCATGAAAATACTTAAATTAAGAATATTTTTAATATATTAGATATATATATATATATATAATTTGTAACACGGGAAAGATATCGAACGACAAGCGGAGGGCTGTACCCCCGCACCCCCCCAAAACCTAACTAAACATATCGTCGTTTGAAATCTTTTCCGTGTTACAAAATACATGTCAAATATACTAAAAATATTCTTAATTTAAGTATTTTCATGAAGTTGATGCATACTGCGTTACACTAATACAGTAAGTGGAACTCTAACAGATTTTATATTGCAATGACGGATTTTTTAACCTATCATACCTAGTATCTTTAACAATTAATTTCTCGCTTCGCAGTAGAGAGCGACGATTTTATCAGAGGAAAAAGTCATTTCTTTAACAAAAACACGTCGATTGAGCCTACTTTCATCGAAATCGGAGGTGAAGTCGCTAAACTGGATAAGTACCTAAAAGTGATCAACTTTATCAATTAATATCTCGTTTCACCGTGAAGAGCGACGATTTTGGCTTTTAGATTCGGTTTCTACGTGTCAAAATATATTACTCTACCAAATTTTACGAAATCAGTGAGGTTCTCCCTTTCCTCCATAATTATCGAAAATTATCAATTAGTCATTAGTATGTCTCATTATTGGCGATTCATCTATCCACCATTTTTTCGTTGCGTCAGACATTATGACGGAATTTCCCTTTTTTCCACTTTGATAAAGCCAGCGGCATACAGTACTTGTTTTCGTTCTGGATTGCGGGAGCGGTGCACTTGGACACGGTGCATTTGGACACAGCCAATCACAGCACCGTGTGATTAGAGACATTTGTAGGGTCCCTTGGAACAGCGACTTGTGATTGGACTGTGTCCAATTGCCCCGTGTCCAACTGATATACACCTATTTTATACTGTTCTTATTTTGTTACATACGAAATTATAACATAAATCCAATATTATTATAGGTTAATGTTTATTACACGTGAGATTACTAATACTTCTTTTCATTAATTTAATATCAATAAAATTTAATAAATCATTTATTCATATATTGATATATAAGGAAAATGATACGCGCTAATCATTAGAATAATAATTACGTACCTACCGACTTTTATCTTTTTGTTTCTCTTGAGGACAAAGTATCACCTCACGTCGCTATGAAGCTAATCCGATTACTGCTGAGACAGCTTTTACTAAAATCTGATTAAGCTAGGGAATTTTTTTAAATAGATCGATTGAGTACCACTGTTCAGTCGGATTTCCAATCCGACAACTTATCGTAAACACCCTATGTAACAATCAAGGCTATGTTCAGAAATCCAACTCGATGGATAGAGTTACTTTAATAAACCAATCATGATAAATAAATCTTAGTTCTTTTTGCCCTGATTGGCTAATTAAATGTTACTCTACTCACCGAGTAAGATTTCTGAATGCAGCCCAATGGATGCGTTTAGTGGAAAAAGCTCTCAGTAAGTAATCAGCGATTATTGGTTCTTATGGCTCCTGCACACAGGACGCGGTAATACTTGCCGCGCGGCGGAAGTCCATGCGAT